ATAAGACCACTGCACTCCAGCCTGGGCAACAGAGCAAGCTTCTGTCTCAAAAAAAAAAAAAAAAAAAAGAAGAAGAAGAAGAAGAAAAAAAAATAAATTCTCAATTAATCTAGTAGGTTACCTACTTCTTGCCTCAAAATGTTTTGCCCTCAGACTTGCTTAATAAGTAGATTTTCTTTGGCAAATATGAAGAACAATTACCATCAGATTATATTCAACTCATTTACTGGCCTCCAAATGTAGACTGATTTAAATTTTGGGCATGTATTTCTTGTTTCTTTTCTTAAAGCAAATAAATATCACACATGGATAACACAAACAAGATTCTCCACTCTCCTATAAGCCTCCTCTGCTCTTTAGAACCTGTTACAATTTCTTTTCCTTTTTTTTGAGACAGAGTCTCAAGCTGTCACCCCGGGTAGAGTGCCGTAGCGTCACAGCTCACAGCAACCTCCAACTCTTGGGGTTAGGCGATTCTCTTGCCTCAGCCTCCCAAGTAGCTGGGACTACAGGTGCCCACCACAACAACCAGCTATTTTTTGGTTGCAGTTATCACTGTTGTTTGGCAGGCCCGGACTGGATTTGAACCCGCCAACTCTAATGTATGTGGCTGGTGCCCTAGCGGCTTGTAGGCACCGAGCCAGAACCTGTTAAAATTTTAATAATTAACTTGTAGTCTTCTCCTTTTGTTACCTAGTTTTAATAAACACCAGATGAGTAAAGCCAAAACAAAAAACCCATTCAAAATGACCTGCCAGCAATAGCACAAGGACAGTAAGAACCCTAATTTCTCCATCTCCATCTTTACAGGAAACTTTGGTGTTTATACTAAAAAGTATAAATTACTCTGACCTTAAGTTAAAAGTGGAGGAAGAGTTAGGCAATAAATATATTTCTGTCATTCCTAGCCAATTGTTTTAGGTTCCATTCTGATTTCATTAAAATATACTTTACAATATATGTGGAGTAGAACCCCTGTAAGTTGACCACCCAAGGGACTGTAACAAACTGGTCAACACACGCAGGTAGCCAACATAAGGAACTAGGCCTATGGTGCTGATACAAACATAGGGTGCATGTCCAGTCTATGAAAATTAGGTCAATTTAAGGAGGGGGGGTCAATGTAGGGAGGAGGTCAATTATGGAGGTTCTACTCTATGTTGTTTCATTGTAGCCATAATATTCCTGATTATACCTAGAGGGCTCTTCTTTGTGTTTCCAGAGGCCAATTAATATTTTTTATTTTGAAGACAGGGGTCTCATTTTATTACTCAGACCAGTCACACTCCTGGTCTTAAGAGAGCCTCACACTCAAGTTCCTGGGACTAAAGGTGTGAGCCACCCAGCCCAGTCGTGGTCTAGGTCTTCTAACCCCTTATATTCTGCTCATTCAAAGGCCCCTGCCTTCCCTTCCAAAACATTTTATTCAAAGCACAGAGACTCAGAGAGATGATAATGACAACATTAGGGCAGCAGCCTTCACTTTATGCCTCAAACACACTCAACTCTTTAAAGGTGTCATTCCTTGTCTTTTTACCCAAGCACAGATACAAAGATTTCAAAAACTGGGCGGCGCTTGGCCAAAATGCAACAAAAAATAACCGGGTATTGTGGTGGCAGCCTGTGGTCCCAGCTAACTGGGAGGCTGAGGCAAGAGAAGCGCTTAAGCCCAAGAGCCAGAGGTTGCTATGAGCTGTGACACCACAGCACTTTACGGAGGGCGATAAAGTGGGACTCTGTCTCTAAAAAATAACAAATAACTGTCCTTCACTCTCACCAAGACTCATCTAACTTTTCTCCCTAACAAAGGATTAAACTGTCTCGTTCCAAAGCTAAAAAACTAAACTTACACCATGTGAACTCAGCCAAATCCAGCCAGCATGCTGCTTCAGTATTCCTTTTCACAAATTCACCGGTTCTCCTTTTGTGATAGTTCTTTATATTGCTATGCATACAAAAACAGTGGTTTCTCTGAAGGGGAGAATTAGGAAGCAAAATAGACTTCCAATAGAGTCTCCCAGATAGCACCAAGGGAATCTGAATTGGAAAGAGATTTTTAAGCCCATAGAAAGGACATAAGCCTGTCAGCAGACATTTGTATTTACGTGAATGGTGAAGAGGCAGAGATGTGTTTATGTGCATGGTGAAGAGGCAGACATGTATTTACGGGCATGGTGAAGAGGCAGAGAATAAAAACATTTTTTATTCAACCACACCCACCCAAACTCTTAGCACTTAAAGTTAAACAGAAAAGATCTTACTTTGTAGATCCATTCTCCAAACTTCAATGAGTTAAAACTGAACCAAAGCTGTTTAGTAGCTCTGCAGAGTAATCTAAGGAGTACTGCTGATTTCCTAACAGTAGGGTAAGATTAGATTTATATGAAGCTTCCCCATTCCTTAACAAAAAGTGCTGCCAGGCTACCCAGAAATTCCCCTCTTGAGTCCCACAGCCTTTCCGGAAACATGAGAAACCAAGTATGCTGCAATCCTGGCCTTTTTGGTATTGGATCCAAAATAAACCGTCTAGGCCAAGCAAGACAGTGAATGAAATGCCCCTCCCCTAAAAAAATAAACAGCCAAAGTTCTCAGGTCTCATTTACCCAACACACACATCACAGTAAATGACTTAGTATGGTGATAATCTCCAATGTTATTTAATAAAACAAACACCCAGCAGAAAAAGCCTATAGTCACATGTAAATTACACCATACTCTCAGATCAAAGTTAATGATGCGTATGGAAAGCACAGGCCTGAGGGTTCACTGGCAATAGGTCTAGGGATTCTGAACAAAGAATAAATAAAACGTTAGAATTCTTTAGACACTTCAAGGAGAAAGAAGGAACATGTAGGTATAATAACAAAAACTCCTACAGGCCAGGACTATTCTAAGCACTTCATGGGTCTTAACTAATTTAATACCAACAACCTGTTAAGACTGATATTATCAATCCCAATTTTAAGTATGTGGAACAAAAGAACAAAGAGGCTAAGCAACTTGCTCAAAGGATTTTTACACAAGTGATGCAAACTGATCAGGCTTCATACTCCAAAGAAGTCAAGGTAAACATAGCCCCCCCCCCCGTTTTCGTCAACACAATAAAATCATGCCAGCAAAAGTTTCTAGAAGCCTATTTACCCCTGTGGGCTCTCCTTCCACATAATTTTTTGTTTTTGCTTTCCACAAAATATCACATGCCTTTAATTTCATAATACTCCTTTAAAGCATAGACAATAGGAGAACGTCTTCATTTTACACACAGGAAATGTAAGCTCAAGTTCTTCAACTTCTCCCCCCAATGATGCTCTTTGAAAACAATCTGATATATGAGGTCGGGAATTTGGAGAAAACCAAAATGAAAAAAAAAATCCAAAGGAGTAATATCAAAAAGTAAGCAAAAGCTTTAAAAGGGATTTATCACTCCTAACAGCTGGAGAAGCATCCAGCCCACTAATGTGTAACATACCCCTACAGAAATCGCCTTCTCTCAGAGCCTAGGATCCAGAGGGGGGCAGAGAGCTGCGCAAAAACCAATCTACACACAACTACTTAGCCGCCGGCCCAGGCCCTTCATCTGGAGGGCGCTCCACGTCAGCGGGACTGAAATGAGTGTTTTTGTCGAGGTGGGGTTGGAGCGGGCCCAGGAGAAGGGAGGCCCCGGGAGACTTTGCCCTGTGGTCCCTGGACTCCTCCGCGCTGTTGAAGCGAGTCAGCCAACCCGCTACCGTGGGTCCCGGCGCGCCAGTTGGGCCATTTGTCCTAGGCCGCGGCGGGGAAGGGGTCAGGCCTCTGGGACCACCGACGTTCGCTCCCCTCCACCCCCAGCCCGCCGTTCCCCGGGCCCTCCTCTCGGACTTCCTTCGAATAATCTGACTTCATCAGTCTCCTAGACCCGGCGCCGGGCAACTCAGGCCCTCGCTGCCCGCACTTCCCCTCGAAGCCCCGCACCGAGCGCCGGTGCCCCACACCGGACCGGGAGCCTGCCCCAGGCTGGCCGTCCAGCAGCCCAAAACTCTCCCTGCCTGTCAGGAGAGAGCTACTGCCGTGACCCCTGACCTCGCCTCTCGCTCACCTTAACAGCTTCGCAACCACCTGACACGTTGCCCCAGCGCCGGCGGCTCCATAACCAGGGAGCCAGCGCCAAGCTGGCCAACCTCCTACCCTCCCTGCGATTGGCCGACAGGACGGCAGCCGCACATTCCTATTGGCTGGATTACCCGCAGCGGCCGTTCGCGTGGCCAGCAGAGCGAGTACGAGGCTCCGCCCACACAGGGGTCAGGCTAGGGGTGGGACCCTGCCTGAGCTGGTTCTACCTACAGAATGCGTGGATTTGGAGTTACGATCGGTGGACACCCTGAACACAGAAGAGACTCCTGCGGTAGTTCGCCTCCGACTCTTGTCAGGTACAGACAGTAAACCCCTTTTCTTCTGCAGACCGAACTCTATGAGGCTACGAAGGATAGCTACCTGGCAGCACTATTTACACTTGCCCCAGAGCCACATCATAGTATCTGCTGCACCAGCAAGAACATCCCACACCTGGGAGGAACCTCAAAACATCAGCTAGCGTAGCCAGTTCGACTGCCTTGGGTGTCCTACTCCCAAACCCCAGTAGTGAATTATTTTCCTCCATCACGCCCAGCTAACTCACTTCTCCCGGACTTTAACTCTACTTACCCCAAAACAATCCTACTCCCTCCCCAGCCTCAACCTCTTGCGGAGAATTTTCCTCTGAAGATGAGTGCCTGCCCAGCCGAACTGGTCAAGTGCGGAGACTGAATGGTTTGACAAGTCACCCTGATTTTCCTGCAGTGTCATTTAAAGCTACCAGAAACATTCTTAGACACGCTACCACCACCACCACGCTGACGGTTTTAAAGATAACCGAGCTTCTTTCTTCAAGTAAGAAACTTATAGGAGAAATTTTTATTAGTTAGTAAGAGAGTCCAAAATATGAGGAAGAGTGAGTGAACTTCAAGATAAATACATAAATAAAGTGCAAAGGAAAAACGAGCTCCGGGACCAAAATCAAACCAAATATCAAAACAAAATTGAGCCAAACATCATCAGCTTCCTGGAGCAGGTTAGTTTCCATTCAGAATTTCTCCTGGAGAGAAAAGAAAATCCACAAGTTAGTTCTGAGAATCTCTCTACAACCCATCTGTGGAGTTTCAGAAAGGATTGACAAAGTGCCTCCAGACCAGCACCTTTCCTTTAGGAACTTCACCTATGAGTAGGAAATAAAATGGCTGGAGCTGTTCTTGTCCACCTTCCAGGTCTGCTCGGCTGGGCAGCTCCCCTGGGTTGTTGCACACCTGCAGGCTACTTACTTAGCTCACACTGTGGAGCTGCATCCATCTTAGCCTCCTTCTTCCTCATGGTGCTGAACTGGTTTGATTTTTCCTAGCGCCAGCCCCTTTATTTATAAAGACAGCTGCACCTCCCTCTGTTAGATAAGAGCAGGCACTTTAGGCTGCCGGAAACAACACAGCACTGGTAAAGACTGGCATGGAATTTCAAGAGGCAAACCACACCCTCCAAAGCATAATCAGATGTCATCTTTGACCTGCCATGAAAGGGAAGCATTATGTATCTGCCACTCCTAGATATTAATTAACAATTTATCAAGTTCAAAAACTTTTATTCTGAGATTTCATCTCTGTCCCATCAGCAGGAGCAGGAGCTGGTGGTGGGCCTGTGAGTGCCAGTGGATGAAAGGGGCAGGCTAACACTTCCTTTTGCAGCTCCCCTCGGAATGAAGCTGGTTTGGGCACTTGTACCAGGTATACAAGTACGATAGGACTCTGCTCCCCTGAAACAGGAGGTGAAACCAATTAACCCCATACCTGACAGTCCATATGTATTTTCCACATACCTACGTGCAGCACTGAGGCAATTATGAGGAATTTCAGAGTGTAAGTGAAAATGCAACCCTATCTATCCCTTGGGATCTGAAGGAACCGCTGGCATCAGCCTGGTCAATCAATGATCCAAAGGCAGACAACAGAGTCAGGTAAACTCAGGGCTCAGTTCCTGATGGAAAAGAAAAAGATAGGGAAAAACCCTGAGACTGCAAGAAAGAAATCCAGGGCATGTCAGAGAAATCAGAATTTCTCTTTCTGGAAGGAGGGAGGACATTTGCCTCAGGGAAATAATTTAGAGGATAAACCTGGAAAGACAAGGGTGAGACACAGGAGGGAAAAAAGCAGTTATTACTTTCAGGTAGCTGGTAGGGTTTTTTTTGTTTGTATGTTTGTTTTGTTTTTGAGACAGAATCTCACTATGTCACCCTCAGTAGATTGTTTAGCAGGCCCCAGCCAGGTTCAAACCTACCAGCCTCAGTGTATGTGGCTGGCGCTGTAATCAATTGTGCTACGGGCGCCTAGACAAGTAGCAGGTAGTTTTAAAGAAAATCTGCAGCTCGTCGCCTGTGGCTCAAGTGGCTAAGATGCCAGCCACATACACCCAAGGTGGCAGGTTCGAATCCAGCCTGGGCCCGCCAAACAACAATGACGGCTACAACCAAAAAATAACCCGGCGTTG